CCTAAAGCGAAGCATGTCCAGCCCCACATGCCCATTGTTCTGAGGTTGAGGAAGCTTCCCTACACGATGCTGCCGCCACAAAGCCCCTCCAGGTACCCTGAATCAGCCAAAGCCACAGACCGTGCTTGGGACCAGTATCTGCTGAGTGCCAGCTGTGCGCCCAGCACTCCTCCAGCTGCCAAGGATTAGCAATGAACCAGGCCGACAAGGCCCAGTCACCTGGAGCAGGTAGTCTGCAGGGGCTGAGGGGGAGACAGGAACAAAATGAACAAACAGAAAAATTCCAGACGCTGATGAGGGCTACTTGGAGAATTGCGACAAGGTTGTGTGATAGGGAGGGATGAGATGTCTGCTTCTGATCTGGTGGTTAAAGTGGCCCCTTGCAGAAGTGACGTTTAAACTGAGATCTGAACTGTAGGAAGGAAGGAGCCAGGCCACTGGCCAATCAGGAGAGAGAGTTTTCTAGGCCGAGAAGGGCAGCAACTGCAAGGAGGGGGCTTGACGTGCCTGAGGAACCGTCACAAGGACATTGTAGGAAAGGAAGGAAAGAGAAAGCAGGTGGGGATGACACCTGAGGGGCTTCTGGAGCCGGCCTGAGGCAAGGGGCTTCGCGGTCCACCCAGGCATGTAGGGCATCTGCTGGAGAAGGGGGGGCGGGGTGAGATAGGAGAGAGAGGGGCTCTGGTATGTCCCCAGAGATTGCCCACTGTGGTGGGAGAACGGATCACGCATGGGCCAGAGCTGAGCAGGGACCCCCGTGTAGAGGGTTACCGGGTGATCCAGGGGGAGTGCTGGAGGCTCGGGCAGTGAGGTGACAGCGGGGTAAAGAGGAAGGCAGCGATGTGGGGTGTGTTTCAGAGCTAGGAGGTGCTGACAGAGGGGTGAAGGCAGGACAGCAACCCAGGATAAGTCCTCTATTTGGACTGAGCAAAGGAGACTCAGGCTGGGGTGGGGGCGTGCTGTGAAAACTGAGCCGTTGGTTTGGGCCAAGTCAGTTTCTGATGCACACGTCACCTCCCCGTGGAGACGTCAGCAGACAGCTGGATCTCGTCAGGGGCTGCGGTTCACAGAACCACAGGGCTGGAGAGATGGACTCAGGAGTTCCTCAGGAATTGCTTGAATGGATCCAACTTCCCCGTGTGGTTTTCATCACTACATGGGAGCAGTGATGGGCTGAGATTGCGGCCACGAAGCAGGCCAGGGAGCCGTGGCTGCCACTGGGCTCTCTCTAAATGTAGCAGGTGGCCTCTTTTTCTTCCCTCCCCTTGAATATATGCACACTGCCCTCCAGAAAATGGCAGCACTAGGTTCTGATGTCTAGGAGTGAACGGGAGAGCAGGAATATTGAGGGACTGGGGAGGAGGAGTAAGGCCATAGGGAGGAAGGACAAGAAAAATGTCATTTGATGCTGGGATCTCTGCACACACGCTGACATTGAAGTGGGCTTATCCCCAGAGGAGAATGAACGGTCCCCGAGTGCCCTTGAGGGGACAGGTAGTGCAATGACTTGCAGTTCCTGGAAACTTGCAGATGTGCCTGGAATTATGGAGATGGACCTGGCCTGGCCTGAGGAAGCAGCTCCCCTGACCTTGTGATAATGCCTGACAACGTGGCTGAGTCCCTGCGACACCACCATCACCTCCACCCCATCAATGGCTCCCAGGCATTCGCCAAATCTCCCGCCCTTGTACACCGGACTCCCCGGCCAAGAGAGGCAGGAGATGGCTCTGTCACACCAGTAACTCATTTCTGAGTTAATGACCTTGTGCAAGAACCATAGGGCTGGAGAGAGGACTTCAGGGTTTCTCAGGAGTTACCTAAGTGGATCCTTCTCCCCAGCTCTAAAACAACGGTTCCTGAGTGCTGCGGGGGAGTAGCTGTGTCTTATTTCTTCAAAAACAAGCAGCCGAGAGGCAGAAATAAAAGTGGGGAAGAAATAAAGCAAACGAACAGCCCCGACTGCCCATTACGTTCGGGGAAGCCAGCTGTCATCCTCATTGAAGTTTCCCATATCCCTTCAAGGTGGGTGTTATCTGAGTTATTGAGAATAAAGATTCAGGGAAGTTGAATAACTTGCTCAAGTAACTTAAAAGTAATGGGGATGGGGGAGACCCCTCAACACTGGGGTCCTCCAAAATGCCTGGGGCCACTCTATTGCTGCCCTGAGGGTCCCCGTAAGCTATTATGTTGGCCTTGACACGTGACACAGCCCTGTTTTGAGAGCTGTGACTGAAGAGCTACTGATCTCCTGTAAAATTTCGGGTGACTAACTGCTGCCACTCTTGGACCCAACTCAGTGGTCACAAGAGTCCTGGTTGGTTGGCTTAGAGGCTGACATCTCTGTAAGGTCAACTGTGGTGACAGGATTTGTGTTGGGGCTAGATGGCCTTATCACATCACATCAACTAGGCAGCTGTGCTCAGTCCTACCTGCCACATTCCTCACCTGGCTTTGACAATATCTACATAGGGAGGCACAGAAAGGCTTAAATGACCTCATTAGCTCTGCTGTTTGCCTTTGGGTTAAGGAGGCATTGTTTAGTGAAGTAAAAGGTGATTGAAAACACACAATTGTTTTAACTGGCCAAGTTTCTGCAGCTCCAGGCAAATGAAGGGGAAATACTTTCCTGTCACTAACAGGGTAGAGTAAACTGCCAGCCACATTTTACTCAAATGAAGACCATGGATCTACCCTCATCCAGATACAGTCAAAATGTGTATAGGTCACTCTTGGTTCTGAACCAATGCAAGGCTTTCTCTGATGTATTCACAAATTTTTTGGTTTTGTTTTTTTTCTTCAGTGGACGTCATTGTTAGATGGACTATTTTATTTTATTTAACAAACACATCTGTGCCAGATACTGTTCTAAGTGACTTACAAATATTAACTCAAGAGTCCTCATAACAAAACTATAAGGTAAGGACTTCTGTATTTACACACTGTGGATAAGGAAACATAGGCAGGGAACCATCCAAGTTCACCAGGTCGTGTTGCCAGGATCCAAACTCAGGCTCTACTCTGCTATGCCTAAGATTAAAAAAAAGTTCCTATTTCCTAAATAAATTGCAGAGAACCATTCTCCGATGTTCTTAATTCCTCCCCCAACCCCACTCAAGCACCTTTCTCTCTCCTCTCTGCACCCCACGCTCCTTAAGCACTTAACCCTGCTCTCAGGGCCGACAGTCATCAAGTCCTCCCCTTTAGTTCTGAAAAATATTCTGTAGCTTATTAATAAACATGTCTCCTTTTCTAGATTAAATATTAACCATGACACACAGAGCAAAATGGACCTGTTTGATCTTTGGTGCATAAGATGTGGGAGTGACGAGATTTTACCTGATAGATGAAAACAATTCGATGCAAGGATAGGCTGTAGTACACTGCAAGGCAGAGTTGTTGTTTTTTTTATTCTGAGACCTCTGATCAGTATTAAATGTAGATGAAATGCGTTCCTTTAGGGGAAAGATCTGATATCTAAAAATTCTGCTTTTGGGTCTGTTCATTGATATTCATTGGAATGGAAGTGGAGAAGATTTTCTACGTTAAGAAAGTTACCTGAAGTTATCAGTATCTATGAATTGGGTTGTCGGAAAAGTCATGACATATTTTTTCTATGTTTTTCGTTGCAAAAATGCGTCATGACTTTTCCGACAACCCAATATTACATGATCTCTCTCTCACATCTGAATTTAGCATTTTACCACCATTTGGTACATTTATTTCCTCGCTCTCTGTAAGCATTCTTCCCCCACCCAGCTTACCCAGTCTTGATCCCTCTGTTCAGCAAAGAAATGACCATTTTTTAAAAGCTTCTGTATCCCTGTCCTGCTATACTCCCAGCAAAATGCCACTCCCTGGTCTAGACCCACAGTCTGCAAACTTAGTTCCTTTATTTCAATTCCTAAATGTCCCACATTTAGGCTACAGCTAGTTCATGATCTCCAGCCACAACTGGACCTGAGGGCTCTTCTCAATTCTTTTGCTTGTTTTTGGTCATCTACTGTGGTGGGCAGAATAATAGCCCCCATAGATGTCCCTGACCTAATTCCCGAAACCTGGACTATGCTTCTTTACATGGCAAAAGGAACTTTGCAGAAGTGATTAAGTTAAGGGACTAAAGATGGGGAGAGTATCCTGAATTATTCTGTGGACCAATGTAATCACAAGCGTCCTTCCAAGAGGGAGGCAGGAGGGTCAGGATCTGGGAAGGAGATGTGATGATGGAAATGGGCCAGAGAGAAAGAGAGAGATTGCAGGAGGCTACACTGCTGGCTTTGAAGATGGAGAATGGGACCGAGGAACGGGGGCCACCTCTAGAAGCTAGAACAGCCTAGAAAACTTATTCTCTCCTGTAGCCCCAGGAAGAACACAGCCCTACTGACACTGTAATTTTAGCTCAGTAGAACCCATTTTGGAGTTCTTATCTCCAGAACTGTAAGAAAATAAATTTGTGTTTTAAAACTCACTAAGTTTATGGTAACTTGTTAGGACAGCATTAGGTGTATCCCCCCAGAAAATACACCAAAGCATCACCTCTCTCCTCCCCAGTTCTAGAGCTTCATGTACCTCTCAGAGGACCACTCTACTACTCTTTCACAAGAAAAAATAATCAGGCAGATTGATAGTCCTTCATCAGTTAGTCACAGATCCCTCCCCCGACCCCCACCACATATACATGCAAACACACCTATTTCTTACCCTGTCTCTTATAAAGAACCATAATTTGATTTCATTGATCTTCCTGTAGTTTCTCTGTTTTTCCAATTTTATCAGTTCTGCTCTTCACTAACTCTTTCCTTCTGCTTGCTTTGGGGTTGATTTATTATTTTTTCCCAATTATCTACATTTCTTAAAATACAAACAAAGATTATTGACTTGAGACTTGTCTTTTTTTTTCTAATAGAAGCACTCAATGCTATTAATTTCCCTCTAAGCACTGCTTTAGCTGTATCCCACAAATCTTGCTTATGTCATGTTTTCATTTTTTTTTTTTTTTAACAGACAGAAGTATACTTTTTATTGGTGAGCGTAAAGAGGGGGCAGTGCCAACACTCATGAGTGTAGGGCCCGCCATTTGTCCAGGGGGCCACGATTAGGGATGTATTTTACCCCACATCCATCTGGGATAAGCCGCTTTTTAGCCACCATGTCTTCAAACTCATCCGCATTAAACTTAGTAAAGCCCCACTTCTTGGAGATGTGGATCTGCGGAAAGAAAATAATTAAGTCAAGACGACTGGGGCAAGGAAAGGCAGGGCCAAAACTGTAGCACTAATTACCTTCTGGCGACCAGGAAACTTGAACTTGGCCCTGCGTAGAGCCTCAATCACATGTTCCTTGTTCTGCAGCTTGGTGCGGATGGACATGATGACTTGGCCAATGTGGACCCTGGCCACTGTGCCCTGGGGCTTTCCAAAGGCACCCCGCATACCTGTCTGGAGTCTGTCAGCCCCAGCACAGGACAACATCTTATTGATGCGGATGACGTGGAAGGGGTGGAGCCGAACTCGGATGTGAAAGCCATCTTTGCCACAGCTTTTCACCATGTACTTGTTGGCACAAATACGGGCGGCCTCCAGAGCTTCAGAAGAGAGCTGCTCATATTCATCTGACACCATGTGGCCACAGAGTGGGAACTCATCCACTTTTGCCTTCTTCCGCCCCAGGTCAAAGATGCGGATCTTGGCGTCAGGGACACCTCGACAGAAGCGAGACTTTGGGTACGGCTTGTTCTTACAATAACGGTAACATCGGGCGGGGCGGCGGCCCATGGCGATACCACGATTTTCACCGGCTCGCCGAAAGGAAAAGAGACTCATTTTCATTCAATTCAAAATATTTCCTAATACCCCCTGTGACTTCCTTTTGACTTGTGACTATTTAGATACCTTTTGTTTAATTTGAAAATATTTTAAGTTTTCCCAGTATTTTCCATTATTAATTTCTAGTTTAATTCCATTATGATCAGAGCAACCCTTCCTTTTCAGGCTTTTCTTTTTTCTCTGTCGATAAATGTGCTCAAGCCTTACTCATTCTCAAAAAGAGACCCATCTTTGACCTGCCTTGACATCACTATGATTCCCCAACTCCCTTTTATATTTACTGTCTCCGCTTCTTGTCTCCCATTCTCTTCAATTTTGAACCATCTAATGCGCCTTTGGTTTCTTGCTACCTTTCCAGGCCTGTGCCTCTGGACTCTGGTTCCATAAGCCCTTTTAGTCTTCTAAGAATTGTTCTTTTTGTTTAAAATAGCCAGAGTTCATTTCATTTGCTTCTAACCAAGAATCCTGATTAATAGAGCTTAAAAGCACTAAAAATGTGCCCCTTGGCCACAAATATCATAAACCATCTTCCAGTTTCAGCATCTCATCACCATAGCAACCACATCCTATGACACATAGTAGCAGACACAGAGATGTGGTGTTAACAGCAGCCAAGTGAGGAGAGCATTTCAAGAAGAAGGAGGAGGTAATGATTTGTTACATCAGCCCCGGTAAAGAAACACAGCATCAGAGAAGGTTCCAGTGCAGGGGGGCTGGTACACTAGTAATAAGAAGATGGGGTTGCTTTCTTACGATGAAATAAAATAAAAATTCTGTACCTCCTACACGTCAGCTAGGAGAAGGTGACAGTGAAATATCCCAGGATAGAGGAAAACAAGAAGTTTAGCATCCTGTTGAATAGAAAAAGAAAGAAAAATGACAAAGGATGGTAAGAGTGCCTCATGAAGGTGAAAAAGAAAGTTATAGGCAAACCAGGTTTCACCAGCACCCCTTCCCCCCCCCCAGGTAAGTGAGCAGCCCAGAAAAAATGTGCCGGTTATGCCTACAACTACCGTCAGCACTGGCAACTTGCTTCCCCGTGAAACTCTCCCCTGCCTGGATCCTTAAAGCCAGGGTCTCCTTGTTCTCGTCTCCCTGCTGACCAGTCCATCTTCGTCTCTGCCCCCCAACAGCACTGCCCCTAAACTCTGGCTTTGGCCCCTGTGACACTCAAGGCTATGGACTATGCGAGGGGAGCTCTGAGTCCCCTGCCCTCTACTTCAGCCCCGGTGAGAAGAGTTTATCTGCACTGGTCAAAGTCAAGAACTCTGATGGTCTCACAGAGTGAGGCTTTCCAAGCAGGTCCAAGCCGAAAGAGCAAGGGTGTGGTCTTTCCTTCCCTCCCCCTACATGCAAAGGGAAGCACGGGACCACCCCCAGGAGCCCCTCGCCACCCCCACGCTTCGCCTGTCTCCCTGCTTCCACGAGGCTCAGCCAAATAAGACTTGGGCCATTTCTTCCCAGGCACCTTTTCTGAGTAAATTTCTTGAGGATATTCTACAGCAAACCAAGTGAGAAAACTGAGACATTAAGACAGATTTTACCCAACAATGCAGTCAAAGAAAGCCCAAAGTGACAAACAAAGAGAAAACAGTGCAGCTGGGAGCAGGAGCCCAAGGGCTTCTGGGATCCCTGGCTCGCACCTGGGAGCTGATGTCCTCTAGGCCCACGGCGCCTTCTTGAGCAACCCCCGCACTCCTTTGCTGCCAAAGGTTCTTCCAGTCACTGTCCCACCAACATCGGCAGGTACGTGGTATTGTTGCGGGGAACCCAGACAGAGAGACAGGACACCAAGGCGTGGGAAGAAACCTTTACTAATGCCGGCACTGGCTCAGTGGATTCACATCCAGAGGCTGAGCCCCGACCCGGGCGGGACTCGGGGCTATATACCCTGAGGTTTCCAGGTTGGCAGCTAAAATTTATCATTAGAACATGTGGCCATTGTGCCAGCTCCTGACTGGCTCCTGGGTGAGGTAGGAATTCGGAAATATTAAACGCGGAAGTCTTGCTGACCATACAGTCCAGAAATGTCTTTGTCTGAAGCCTGCGCGAAATCCTTAGTGACCACATGGTCTGGGAAGGCCTTTGTCCAGGGCCCACTGCCACAGTATTGCAATAATTTTTTTTTAATGCAAAACAAATTTTGAATTACTTTTCAACACTTAAACATTATTAGATCTGACGTGGAAATTTGGGTTTCTGGTTTCTCTTGAAATATTGAACTATCTGGCAAAACCAGGCCGTGACCCCCTCCCCCCATGACAACAATGGGCTGGAGCCCAGGAACTGCAGCCCCTTAGCCAGGCTGTGGCCCCCATCCCCCACTCCACACACTGCCCGTCTCCACCGTCCTGGTGCTGCCATTCGTCCTCACACTCACCTGTTGGTTTTCTTAGGCGGGTCTCCAGCTTCCCTGAGGCACCTGAGTTTGCAGCCCTGTTAAAGCCTCACCCCAGTGATTCCCAGCCAGCTAGCTGCCCAGCCCTGAGACATGGCCAGGACTCAGCAAGAGACGCTCCCAGGACCCCTGCTCTGCTCACAGCTGACCCGCTGGGCCATTTTGTTTCAGTTCACGACCAACACCCCCACTCTCCGCATGCCCCGGTCTCCTAGCCTCCTGTCCTGTGTCGTCGCCTAGCAAGGCTGTCACTCACCTTTCACCCCGTCTTTGGTACCACACCCGGGGCCTGACGG